ATTATTAAGGAAAAAATGCGACTGTTAAGTTATTCCTAATTTTTGCAACAGACGCAGACAATTTTTATTTTGCACAAAGAGCCGCAGTCCAATAGTATAATTAATTTCCATCAGCGTGCACGTTTGCTCGCATTTCATAAACTTGCACATACCGTAAATGCACACAGATCACGAAACAACTAATATGTTAATATTTGTTGTTAGTACGTCTACGCATACGCGTGCGCGTTTTCGAATTCAAATGTCAAGTGTTCATGTAACACTAACGCTCATCTAATGAGTGTTCGCCGGACGTTACACTGTACATAAAATGGGTACACAAACTGTCACACCGACCAAAATATCTACCTGCGTCAGACGCACAACGACAGGCGCAATTAAAAATAATAATTGAACGCGACAAATTTGTATGCGAGCGCCAATATTTTCTCTGCCCTTCGAACGTTATCCCATTACCTTGTGCACGCGGACCACGAAACTCCGAACGGACGACTCCGTCGCGACGATGTCGCGAATTTATAATTGACGAAAATTTTTCCCACCGAGATAGAACCGCGGACATTTTTCAAACGCGGAACTTCCACTATGGGCTCGTCAAGAGCGGAACGTGAACTGAACACGCGGGGCCGTTTTCGGCTTAAAAAAGAAGAACGTAAAGTGACTTTCGGTAATGGGAGTACTAGAAAGTACACTCTATATCAGCAAATTGGACGAAAAAAAGGTAGTCGAACAAATTTGGTGAAGAACTTGAAGTAGCGCCGGAACCGTGTCCATTTAGCTTTATATGCAAAACTTTCGGGTTAGACGAAATGAGCGGGGAGCCAGCAGCGTGTGCATGGCTTTTCGTTACGGAATAGAGTTCTAATTCCGCGGAGATCATTTTTTTTTTTTACGTAAGGACCGTTTGAACTCGGCTCGCGTCCGGCAAAAATTATCGTGGCATCGGTCGGAGTAAGTTTCACGTTACTCGTACTTAATTGCTGAACATTTAATTCTTCTAGAATTAATTGGACTGAATTTCTATAAAATGAAAAATGTACGAACCTTTCGCACTCGAACCGCGTCCGCTGAAAATAATATTTAACCGACTGCTAAATATTCAAATATTCTATGAGAATAAGTTTTAATGTCTGCGAAACGAAAAATATTGTACGAAACAGAAGCATACTATCGGAACAAATGCTGTATATCGGTTTCGGCGACGAAATAATTTCCTGCAGAGTTTAAAGTTCAGAGCTCGAAAGTAGCTGTTAAAACTTGACGATCATGCCAAGAGACATCGTCACGGTCGAAAGAGTCGTGTGTCGCGTTATATTATCGCACCAACGTTTTGCATACTTCTTAGCTTAATATTCGTGACATCGCGGGGTAGCGTAGCTTTCAGAATTGCAACAGCAAAGTGTTCTCCGACTGTAAGTAAGCCTGACCTACGAGTAGTAAGACGCACTTCATTTGCATAATTACTCGGCAGTTTCTTAGAACGTGGAATATAGTGACATCCCTCCGTTTCGTTTTAACAGATTTACGTGATCCTTGCGAGTCTCGCTGTGTTTCGCCAAGTACGCAGAATAGTGCTATGTTTTCACGCTCTTTATTCTTCTTTATATATATATACACAAGAATATACAAGAAGATGCAAGAAACAAATTTGACATGCTCGATGTGCGAAAGCAATAATTTTAGTTTTTCCTTTATCGCGAAGAAGCGGAATTTTGTCGGAATCCCGTATTTTCCAGTAGATTGAATACATATTTTGGTTTCTAGAGGTTTTAGTTTTTAAAAGATCTACTTTTAATAGAACTGTTTCTAATCGGCGATTATGACTTATAATAAAATGGGTCCCGAATTAGGCATCATTACCATATTAATCTCAATCGTCGTCAACTTCCTTGCATCAAAGTGGAAACGCTACGATTGACACGGGAACAGCGAATTGGTCCACTGAACATCACGTTCGTCCGGATAAACCGCGAACAACATGCTTATACCGGATTCCATACGTTTGCTTTAGCTTATGCAAATACACGATGTCCACAAATACGCGGCGATTCGTTCGTCTACCGTTTCGACATTATTTGTTGCCTTCTATTTGAGCGCTCCGCTCTATTCTGTCGCTCCGAAAAAAAAGATATTCCGTTTCTGCTTCGTGTCCCGTGCAAAATGTTGAAACATTGCTTTTTCCGACCGATGAATCCAAACATTTACGTACCTTTCGCGCGATTTTGCCGATTACCAGACTCCCACGATAACCGAATACGAATGAATTTTGACCTATAAAACGCATACTCTAAAATGATTCTCTTTAGGTACACCCGCGAATGTTTCGAAAGATGAACGTCAACTAATTTCGAATACTTTACGCGCGAATGTTACTCGTTTCTGTCGTGAGAAAATATGAATGTCCTTAATTCGAATAATTATCTGAGAATACGGCATATTACTTGACATCGTTACTAGATAATTACTACGCGTTACACATGGATAATCACTATGTAACGAATCGCTGTTACTAAACAATTCTTCGACCGTTCCGCGGATCAACAATCGCCAACCAGAGATCTCGATGTTCCAGTCATCGATCGACCCTCTCGCCAGACTGTGAAAACCTCAAATCTCAGAGATTAAGGAACTCTACTGGGAATCCATACCGCAGAAAGTTAAATTCTCTTCAAACTATTACACAATGGTGGGCTACAGACACTAATGTTCGAGCTGCGGAATACAACATTTCTGAGTCAACAAGGAAAAACTGAAAGTACCGCTCTCTCGGATAATTTGAACAGATCGAGAATGACTCGGTAACTTCATAATTTTCTTTACGGTTCTTACTGTCACGGTGTTTCTTAGACTCATGGTTTCAATTCGTCGGCAGTGAACTGCAAACAATCTTAAACATCATCGAATTGTACGATTCACTGTGTTCTTTGCGGTCGTATTTAACATTAGATTTACGACATCAGTCGAAATGGCTGGTTTCCGGTCTTCTCTTTTACGATTTCTGATATTAAAAACATATTTCTATGAGCAATTTTTAGATAAACTTCTTTGTTCAAGCGTATATGCTACAATAGAAAATTACACGAAGTTTAAATAAATTCAAGCTTGTCGTTATAAATCATTGTACATTGGTTGCGTTTAGGGCACGGTAAAATGCCTAAAAATTCGCAGTCTACTAACGAGTGAGCGAAATCATTGCAAAACAATGCCGAAATAATTCGGAATTGCACAACAATTGCTAATAATTGGAAATAATTACAAAGCAATGTGTGCTTGATCGTAACAAGATTTATGGAATTAGCGAATATCCAGTAACAGTCAGACGCAGCTGACAACAAATTCCGGTTGGTTACATGAAAGGGATCGGTTTCGCCAAGAAGGGTAATTCTCGCGTGTCAGAGGAGCTGCTTAATCCAACCGTGAGTTCAAGCAACCGAATGAAATCAGAACTGCGAAGCACAGTGGATCGTGTGTACATTTACGCAGTGGTGTGCGTCCTTAAAATGCACTCGGAAAGGTTGATTCCGCGCGGCGATGGTGCAGGAAAATCATCGAGTCGCGTGTAAACGTGTAACGTGTAATTCGAATGATAGCAAAAATTCCACGCTACGAGCATTAAACGGATAATTCTGTTATGCAGGTCGTTCCGTACGGTATGCCCGGTATTTAGCGGTAGTTTCGAGCAGTCTAGTTTTCAGAATGAAGTTGATTAACCTAAATACATTTTCCGAAAATGGTTGTACCATAAAGTAAAGGTTCCTCCGGCAACTAGAAGAATACTCGTTGCAAAAAGAAAAGAAGAATTCTATCATGCCTCGTCGATTTATTCGTTCTCTATCATTTTAAAATTCTGCATACATCATGCAAATGCATAAAAATTCGCAGTAGAATTCAAAAATAAATAACACCTAGATTAATCAACCCTGATTTTTCTAAAAAATACTACGACATAATTTGAAGCAATTGTCACGATATTAAAGTTTGTATTTGTTAACACTATATAATATTTAGTAATACTATTTAATATTTGCTAATAGTATTTCATACTTAGTAATATTCGTATTTCAATGTTTGGTAACGCTACTTGATATTTAATCATTCATTCAACAGTAATTAATTGCCAAAGTTTTAAGTCGCAGCTGTAACTGTGATTAGTTCGCCTGAGTTATTATAACACCGACCACATTTCATGAACATTTGAAACATTTTTTCTCGTCAATATCATTCGGCACTGTCCGCAATTGAAGTCGAAACCATCGCGTGACCACCGGCGTGTTAAAAGATATATAAAATTTGACGAATGCGTATGGATTTTTTATGACCGGTCGCACATACATCCGTAAAAACCGGAATCCGAAAGAATGTAAAAAAGAATAGAAGAATTTTACGATGTATTCCTGCGGCTACTGATAAATAAATACGCCGAAATCGAGTTTTGCACGGCTGGTTAAAACAGCTATTTATTCAATGTAATTCGATTAATCTTGCTTCCGTTCGCGTCGCAGTAATTATGCTCTGCAAAGTATTAAAAATTCTATTAAATCGAAGCTAAAAGACCAGAAGTTAGGTCTTGTGACAAATTGACAAAATTCTTCTATATCAAATTATCTATTAATAAATTATTCCACATAGATTCATAATTACGACTCTCGTCGTAATCATTCGCAGATTATACTAACTATCCCCTCTGTAAATAACGATGAAACCTCAATTTATTTTTATATAATTCAGCCCGTAATAACATGTTCTCGTAGCCAGTTCAACGGATTAGCTACTTAAAAAATATGAAACGCAAAGAAGTCGATTCAGAGATACATAAAACCAAAATGGAGACGAGAGGATTTGACTCACGGGGACGATCGATCCGACGGGGGTCAAGCAAAGCATAAAAACGGGGAAACTTCGTTAGTACTTTTAAAGAAGTTCCAGCTCTGTCGTAACGTTCCCAGCGTGTTATAATCTCGGGGACACGGAGCGTGTAAATTAAGGTGGAGATCTCTTACCATAGGGGACGCATTTCGGGATGGGATGATTCCAGCCGTCGGCAGTGCAAGTCAGTACTTTATGGCCCTTCAATCTACGGCCTGGTTCACACGAGTACACGGTCTGCAGAGTGCCATCTTTAAGGACCCTCTCCCTCACCGCTCCCCACTCAGGTGGCTGCACCAGGGGACAATTCCCGAGAACTCCTGAAAGTCGAACAAGAGACCTTTAATCATAGGAAAAGCTGCACAAGATAAAAGAGATTAGGAAATTAGAAAAATCGTTCGAACGTTCCGCCACCGTCTGCAACGTAATCGTCTTTCTGCGATACGCTAATATGAAGATTGTGTTGTCGATAGGTACAAATAAACGCCACTTCCAATTTTTCGATTGACAGGTTTTGCACTCGAAATTCATCCTTTTCAAATCAAATTCATCCTTTCGTTGATCATATTCACCTTTTTCTAATTAAATTGATTTTTTCGCAGGATCAACTAAAATAATTTCAACGTTTCAAACTGATAATTAATTTTTTTCAATTTATTACATAACGGAGCACATAACTTTTTCAATACTAAACTAAATGATTTAAATTTTTTGAAGACATTAGAGGGACTGAAATACTTTGCTTTAATTTTCCTCTTACTTGGAATGACAAAAAAAGATAAAGTCACGTTCGTTAACTTTATTAAAACTAGAACGGAAATGTGAAAACTGAAAATTACATCGAAATCGGTACATTTTTATATTTTAGTTCAAGTATAAATCGTAGAATTTTTGTTAGAGTTAGAAGATGTGTTGTTTGTTTTGAAATCATCTAAAGATCGAGTCTAAGTCTGTCGAATATTACATAAATAATAAACATATGATATTTGCGATAATTTGAGTATACTTTCTAAGAAAAGATCGATAAATAAAAATGTTTATTATCCGTAACATTTCACTTGCAATCCATAAGGAAACTCAATAAAGTTCGATAACTTGTACCATTTCACCCCTCTTCGCGTAACAACCAACCCCTGATGCGAGACTAATAATTACACTTTCCCCACTTCATCTGGCAAGGACGTGTAAAAATTTCAGATTATTCCACAATGTACAACATGCAATACCGAGGCTTCGGTAAAAACGTCACGGCCAGCTCTCGGTCTCCTCTAACCCCGATAAATTCAATAACATCGAGTCAAGGTATCGCGCGATTACAATAAAGCACCTTCTGCGGTTGAGCGTGAGAGTTCTGAATCGATCCGCCACAAGAATCCCGCGAAGTTACGACCTATGAGAGTCGCGGGGAGGTCATCCCGACCACCGTCAACGAATGCTTGCCAAGACCGTAACGAGTCTCCGAGTCGTAAATCGCGACGCGTAACTACCTTCATTCTACGAACGCGATGATTTTCTTGTGATAAGCGAACACCCATTGGTTCTACCACCTACCGAGACGGTCTTCCGCTAGAACGGCTCTATTCGTCATTTTTATGTTGCTTGCAATCGCGCTGTGTCTCGGTCGCGTATAAAGAACAATGTTCAAATTGCTAGCGATATCTTAGCTCCGCCGGGGAACCAATAACTTACGGCACTGTTTTGTCAAAATTTTATTCGATTCGTTCGCGTGTCGGCCATGAATTTTATAATTATAATTGTTTGCAATATCTCTGTATTTTTCTCGTCGAACTTCACCGAACTACGCGAACTTGGCTCACTGAATTCTGTAATTATAATTTTTTTACAAAATGTTTATAGCATTCGTGGCTCATTGTCAGTAGTTTTAAGTCGAATGTAGTTACTTAGTGGTTAAAGAACTGTTCTCGTTAAAAATATTAAGGAAATAAACTGCTCTCAAAAGTAGCCAACAACGATATACATTACTCTACCATATATGAGAATTTAATCTTTTTAAACTTTTTTTCTCTTCTTTCAATATGTTTTCTCAATCCTTTCTTTCCAATAAGTAATTTTTTACTTCCACAGAGTTCTCTCTACATCTGTTGTTTTCACATAAAGTTTATTTTTCATACTAAAGATTCAAATCGGAAATTAAAATCACGCTTTATGGAAATTATTAATTTGGTTATTATCTTTTATATTATTTTTTAATTATCTTACTATATATCCATTGTAGAGTACAAATAAAAATTTTCAAGCGCATCGATTTGTATTCGATCGACTGGCGAAACGTAAATTAGTTTCGTTACGTTTGCTCAAATCAAAAATCTTATATCACGTAGAATTGCACAATTGTTGCACGAACACGGGAATGCCAATTAGTCGTTCTTTTCGGCAAACTCGGTCATTAATTTCGCAAAGCTCGTTACGTAACTGCGATTGAGCATAAGTACGATTTACGACTCTGTGAATTTCAAACCACGAATTGCGGTGTACACGTGATGTAACACTGTTCGTATGAATCAATTAACGCAACGTAGTATGTATGCACACGTGTTTGTAGCTATACATACGTGCCGACACGACGATGTGTTTGTAACGGTGTAAACGGTGGAATCCGCGGAAAATTGTATTACAAAACAAATGCAATTTCGTTCTCGAAAAAGAAAACGCATTGTCGTCGCGCGATTTCGTGTCACAGAGTTTTACATAGTCGCCGGCACTCTCGTGCACGAATCTAACTAAACTGTTCGCGTATTGCATTTGCATTCGCGGGGAATGGAAAAAAAAAGAAACAAATGGCGCGCCAAAAGAACTCATTAACGGCTCCCATTTTCGAGTCGCAACAAGTTAACTGCGAACGCAAAGCAAAGCTATTTCCTTAATTTCGTTTTAAATCCATAGAAACGTGTTTCATAAATGTCAACCGTGTTTTCATTAGCAGTTCGGTGCAAGTGGCAGCTTAGCAGACGTCCGTACAAAGAAACGAGCCAGCTCGAGTCGCGTTTATTGATTCAATCTTCTTCTTTATTTCGCCACGGTCTCGCAGCTCGCATTTATGGAACGCTGAATGATCGGGAAAAAAGAAGAAAAAAGGAACGATCGGCCAACGTTTTCGGCGCGGACCCTTACAAATTCGAATTTCAGTATCACTGTGAACAACCGATGAAATTAACGAGCGATGCGCAAATCGGCGCACGAGGCTCCCGGAGTTTCGACGGCGTTTCTTAATTGGTGCCACGAATTACCGTTTCGATTGATAAATGCGCTAATAGCGGGCCGAGACGATTTTCAGGGTACTGGCTGCGAACGCGGATAATCGAATCGAAGTAATTAACTGACCGTACAGCGATAATGTATCAAATAAGTGGCTCGACGGGTCCAAAGCCGGTTCGAGAAAGGCGTTAAGCACGAAATTTATGTCCGTCGATAAAACGACTAGTTGAAACTTCATTCTTGCGCCCTGCCGTAGCGCTCGGCGCAACAACAAATGAGAGCGATCGATGATTAATCCAACGAAAATAACCGACTAATTCAATCAAGATAGGGACCGACGCAAATTCATTTCAGTATGCTTGTTCATAAAATAAACAGCGTTTTTAATAAAATACAACATACGATAACACGGATTGAATACGTCGGCGAGACAACGATAGCACTTTGAAAATTCAAAATACACGTCATAGAGACACCGAAATATATTAATTAATTTCTGACACGTGATCGAATAGATTATCTGCCTGTTCGGTAACTTTTGTCAGTAGCCTAACAATTGCTCCATAAAATGATTCGAACCTGTTTGTTCGACGCTCCGTTTAATATTTTGCGAGGCGATTTGAGAATCGTGGGCCGTGAATTACTCGTTTCCAGACAACAAAGAAAATACAATGAAATCTGAAAATTAATTAAATCCGGCTTAATTAAGTCCAGCTGTACACCGACTCTATTGTTTGCACTGGCTGCAGATAGATAGCCCAGGACTTAGTCGAAGGCTTATCGACAGCATAACATTTCATGCGTCCATAAACAGTGCCTCAGAAAAGTTTCGTAATACCCTTAAACCATCGTAACGGTAACAACTTCAAACGGGAGAATAACTTGCAAAGTTGGTCAGCGTTCGTAATGATGCTTTCATGTGTTCTGTTTATGCTAGGATATATTATTATCGATTTAAGCGATGACAGTGATATTTTTCTTTCCTTTGTTCTGTTCCGTTTGTATTTTACGAATTAAGATGTTACGCTGTGCTGTATTATGTATAATAATTGGTACGATTTTTATTTAGTATTTGGAATTTTAGATTTAGTAATTGTACCTGTATTTGTATTTCTATTGGTATCTGTATTTATTGTATTTATATTTCTATTGGTATCTGTGTATTTATTCTATTTCTATTGGTATCTGTATTATTCTATTTCTATTGGTATCTGTATTTATTCTATTTCTATTGGTATCTGTATTTACTCTATTTCTATTGGTATCTGTATTTATTCTATTTCTATTGGTATCTGTATTATTCTATTTCTATTGGTATCTGTATTTATTCTATTTCTATTGGTATCTATATTTATTCTATTTCTATTGGTATCTGTATTTATTCTATTTCTATTGGTATCTGTATTTATTCTATTTCTATTGGTATCTGTATTTATTCTATTTCTATTGGTATCTGTATTTATTCTATTTCTATTGGTATCTGTATTTATTCTATTTCTATTGGTATCTGTATTTATTCTATTTCTATTGGTATCTGTATTTATTCTATTTCTATTGGTATCTGTATTTATTCTATTTCTATTGGTATCTGTATTTATTCTATTTCTATTGGTATCTGTATTTATTCTATTTCTATTGGTATCTGTATTTATTCTATTTCTATTGGTATCTGTATTTATTCTATTTCTATTGGTATCTGTATTTATTCTATTTCTATTGGTATCTGTATTTATTCTATTTCTATTGGTATCTGTATTTATTCTATTTCTATTGGTATCTGTATTTATTCTATTTCTATTGGTATCTGTATTTATTCTATTTCTATTGGTATCTGTATTTATTCTATTTCTATTGGTATCTGTATTTATTCTATTTCTATTGGTATCTGTATTTATTCTATTTCTATTGGTATCTGTATTTATTCTATTTCTATTGGTATCTGTATTTATTCTATTTCTATTGGTATCTGTATTTATTCTATTTCTATTGGTATCTGTATTTACTCTATTTCTATTGGTATCTGTATTTACTCTATTTCTATTGGTATCTGTATTTATTCTATTTCTATTTCTATCGCATGTCTGCATTTATTCTATTTATATTT